CCTACCTAAGGAGACAAAAGACCTATACTCTGAAAACTATGAGATGCTGATGAAAGAACTCAAAGATGACACAAACAGTTGGAAAGATATACCATGTTCTTGGATTCAAAGAATCAATAATGTCAAAATGACTATATTACCCAAGGCAATCTACAGACTCAATGCAATCCCTATCAAATTACCAATGGCATTTTTCACAGAACTAGAAAAAAATTTTTTAATTAGTATGGAAACACAAAAGACCCCGAATAGCCAAAACCGAGCTAGAAAAACAGACCTGGAGGACTCACACTCCCTGACTTCAGACTATGCTACAAAGCTACAGTCATCAAAACGGTATGGTACTGGCAGAAAAACAGAAATATAGATTAATGGAACAGGGTAGAAAGCCCAGAAATAATCCCACGCATCTATGGCCAACTAATCTATGACAAAGGAAGCAAGACTATAAAATGGAGGAAAGACGGTCTCTTCAATAAATGGTGCTGGGAAAACTGCACAGCTACATGTAAAAAAATGAAATTAGAACATTCTTTAACAACACACACAAAATTAAACTCAAATTGGATTAAAGACCTAAATGTAAGACTAGATACTACAAAACTCTTAGAGGAAAACATAGGCAGAACACTCTATGACATAAATCGCAGCAATGTCTTTTTGGATCCACCTCCTAGAGTAATGAAAATAAAAACAAAAATAAACAAATGGGACTTAAATAAACTTAAAAGCTTTTGCACAGCAAAGGAAACCATAAACAAAACAAAAAGACAACCCACAGAGTGGGAGAAAATATTTGCAAACAATGTGACCAACAAGGGATTAGTCTCCAAAATTTACAAACAGCTCATGCGGCTCAATATCAAAAAAACAAACAACCCTATCCAAAAATGGGCAGAAGGCCTAAATAGACATTTCTCCAGAGAAGATATACAGATTGCCAACAAACACATGAAAGGATGCTCAACATCACTAATCATTAGAGAAATGCAAATCAAAACTACAATGAGTTATCACCTCACACCAGTCACCTGGTGTGGCCAGAATGGCCATCATCAAAAAATCTACAAACAATAAATGCTGGAGAGGGTGTGGAGAAAAGGGAACCCTCTTGCACTGTTGGTGGGAATGTAAATTGATACAGCCACTATGGAGAACAGTATGGAGGGTCCTTAAAAAACTAAAAATGGAATTACCATATGATCCAGCAATCCCCCATGACTCCCACAAAGAGTCATGTACCACAATGTTCATTGCAGCACTATTTACAATAGCCAGGACACTGAAGCAACCTAAGTGTCCATCAACATATGAATGGATAAAGAAGATGTGGCACATATACACAATGGAATATTACTCAGCCATAAAAAGAAACAAAATTGAGTTATTTATAGTGAGGTGGATGGACCTAGAGTCTGTCATACAGAGTGAAGTAAGTCAGAAAGAGAAAAATACCATATGCTAACACATATATATATGGAATCTAAAAAAAAAAAATGGCTCTGAAGAACCTAGGGGCAGGACAGGAATAAAGATGCAGACATAGAGAATGGACTTGAGGACATGGGGAGGGAGAAGGGTAAGCTGAGATGAAGTGAGAGAGTGGCATTGACATATATACACTACCAAATGTAAAATAGATAGCTAGTGGGAAGCAGCCACATGGCACAGGGAGATCAGCTCGGTGCTTTGTGACCACCTAGAGGGGTGGGATAGGGAGGGTGGGATAGGGAGGGTGAGAGGGAGACACAAGAGGGAGGAGATATGGGGATATATGTATATGTACAGCTGATTCACTTTGTTATAGAGCATCAACTAACACAACAATGTAAATCAATTATACTCCAATAAAAATGTTTTTTAAAAAATGGGCAAAATGACCTAAAGAGACATTTCTCCAAAGAAGATATACAGGTGGCCAAGAGGCACATGAAATTATGCTCAACCTCGCTAATTATTAGAGAAATGCAAATCAAAACTACAATGAGGTATCACCTCACACCGGTCAGAATGGCCATCATCAAAATGTCTACAAACAATAAATGCTGGAGAGGGTGTGGAGAAAAGGGAACCCTCGTACACTGTTGAGGGGAATGTAAATTGGTACAGCCACTATGAAGAACAGTATGGAGTTTCCTTAAAAAATGACATATAGAACTACCATGTAATCCAGCAATCCCACTCCTGGGTATATATCTGGAGAAAACCATAATTCAAAAAGATACATGGGGCTTCCCTGGTGGCGCAGTGGTTGAGAGTCCGCCTGCCGATGCAGGGGACGCGGGTTCATGCCCCAGTCCGGGAAGATCCCACATGCCGCGAAGCGGCTGGGCCCATGAGCCATGGCTGCTGAGCCTGCGCGTCTGGAGCCTGTGCTCCGCAACGGGAGAAGCCATAGCAGTGAGAGGCCCGTGTACAGCAAAAAAAAAAAAAAAAAAAAAAATTACATGCACCCCAATGTTCAGTGCAGCACTATTTACAACAGCCAAGACATGGAAGCAACCTAAATGTCCACTGACAGAGGAATGGATACAAAAGATGCAGTACATATACACAATGGAATATTACTCGGCCATAAAAAAGAATGAAATAATGCCATTTGCAGCAACATGGATGGATCTAGAGATTATCATACTGGGTGAATTAAGTCAGACAGAGAAAGACAAATATCATATGATATCACTCATATGTGGAATCTAATTTTTAAAAAATGATACAAATGAACTTATCTACAAAACAGAAACAGACTTACAGATAACAAAAAGCAAACTTATGGTTACCAAAGGGAAAATGTGGTGGGCGAGGTGGGGGGGAATCAGGAGCTTGGGATTAACATAGACACACTATTATATATAAGACAGATAACCAACAAGGACCTACTGTACAGCACAGGGAACTCTACTCAATATTCTGTGATAATCTATATGAGAAAAGAATCTGAAAAAGAATTAATATATGTATATGTATAACTGAATGACTTTGCCATACACCTGAAACTAATACAACATTGTAAATCAAATATACCCCAATAAAATTTAAAAACAAACAAACAAAAATGAATGGATAAAAAGATATGACATATATATATACTGTGGAATATTACTCAGCCATTAAAAAGAATGAAATCTGCCATCTGCAACAACATGGATGGCCTTAGAGGGTATTATGCTAAGTGAAATAAGAGAGAGAAAGACAAATACATATGATTTCACTTGTATGTGGAATATAAAAAACAAAACAAACAAACATAACAGAAACAGAGTCAGAGATACAGAGAACAAACAGGTGGTTGTCAAAGGGGAGGAAAATGGGGGGAGGAGAAAGATGAGGGAGATTAAGAGGCACAAACTTCCTGCTATAAAATAAATGACCCATGGGTATGAAATGAGTGCAGGAAATACAGTCAATAATTATATAATATCTTTGTATGGTGACAGATAGTAACTATACTTATCATGGCGATCTTTTTTTTTTTTTTTTTTTTTTTTTGGGGTTCGCGGGGCTTTTGTTTTTTCCGTTGCGGAGCACAGGCTCCGGACACGCAGGCTCAGCGGCCATGGCTCATGGGCCCAGCCGCTCTGCGGCATGTGGGATCTTCCCAGACCGGGGCACGAACCCGTGTCCCCTGCATCGGCAGGCAGAGTCTCAACCACTGCGCCACCAGGGAAACCCATGACAATCATTTTTAAATGTACAGAAATATCAAATCACTATGAGGTATACCAGGAACTAACATATAATATGGTAGGTCAAATACAGTTCAAAAACAAACTTATAGGAAGAGAGATCAGATTTGTGGTTACCAGAGGCAGGGGCTACAGAGAGGGAAACTGGATGAAGGTAGTCAAAGGGTACAATCTTCCAGTTACAAGATAAATACCAGGGATGCAATACACAGCATGACAAATATAATTAACACTGTTGTACATAATATATGAAAGTGAAAAGAGTAAATTCTACGAGTTCTTATCACAAGGAAAAAATTTTTTTCTATTTCTTTAATTTTGCATGTATACAAGATAATGGATGTTCACTAAACTTACTGTGATAATCATTTTATGATGTATGTAGGTCAAATCATTATGCAGTACACCTTAAACTTACACAGTGCTATATGTCAATTATGATTTCAATAAAACTGAGAGAAAAAAAAATCTGAGAAATGTCACCGCCAAGAAGAGCCTAAGGAAATACAATGACTAAATGTAATGTAGTAGCTCTGCAACAGAAAAAGGACATTAGGTAAAATCTAAGTAAATCTGATGAACTTTAGTTTAAAAAAAAGGAAAGGAAAGGAAGATGACAATGTCCTATCAAATGGCTCAAGGGTACATTTGAACTGGCAAAAGGATCAGTAAACCTGAAGATAGATCGACAGAGATTATGCATTCCAAATAAGAGAGAGAAAAGAGAACAAAGAAAAATGAACAGAGCCTCAAAGAAATATGAGGCACCATTAAGTGCACTAACATATGCGTAAAGGGAGCATTAGAAGGAGAAAAGAAAGAGAAAGGAGCATAAAAAATATTAAAAGAAATAATGGCTGAAAAGTTGCCAAATTTATTGAAATCATTAATTTATATATCCAGGGAGCTCAGTGAAGTTCCAGTAGGATAAAGGCAAAGAGATCCAAGAAAGACACATCATGCTCAAAATGCCAAAGCCAAAGACAAAAAGAAAATCTTGAAAGCAGAAGAGAAAATCAACTGATCACTTACAAAGGATCCCAATAACATTAATAGCTGACTTCTCATCAGACACAATGGAAGGTTTGCCCCTAACATCACCTGGACTATTATTCACCAATAAAAAGGAATGAAGTACTGATACATACTACAACATTTATGTATTATGTATTTATGTACATTACTAACTTGGACACTAAATATTCCTTTTTTCCTTCATTATGGAGGCCCAGATTTTTCTGGAAGGTGCTTGGGCAGTTCTGTTTTATCACTAATACTATAAGACCCAAAGAATTGTAGCTCCTTAAAACTTACCTATTAGGAACAATCTAGTTTGCCTCTTTACCACCATTTGAGTGACTCAAGCATTACAGGATTGCGTATGAAGTAAGCTGCTCTCTGTGGTGCTGACACATCAAGGTGGACCAGGGTGATGGCTCCCAAAGCTGAGTCTACTTGCTGGTTTGGTCCCTAAGGAAGTTTTCACTCATCTGCAATGAAATGAGAAAAATAAGCACAGTGCATAAAGTTTTTCATAAAGTTAATGCTATTCAGTATAAACAACTACTTTATTGTACATTTGTATCCAACTCAGGATGCTAAAATATTATTTTAACACAGAAAATAAATAGAAAATAGTGGGAATAATAATATTGGTAGTTTTAAGGTCCTTATCTGATACAACATAATGGTGACAACCCTTTGTTGGTATCCCTATTTATTTTACCAGTCTATAAAATCCAAAAGTCTGAGAGCCAACTCCCTTGGGATGCCATTGTGTAACTGGGAAGTAAGGGGAGCCATGCGTCCCCTTCTCTGTCCTCCATGCTTTATTTATAATGAGGCTTGAACTGTAGGGTAGTTGTAGCAGGAACTGATTTTTGCATAGGTCATGGGTGACCACTGCAATCCCTACAGAGCTGGAAAGACAAGACCCCCAATTATCAGCAAACCATGGGAATCGCTCCACACCCCACCTACAAACGACTATGTGTGGCTGTCTGTAGCATAAAAATATAAATAAAACTTTCACTGAGAGGTTGGACTATGACCTTGCCCAAGCTAAGGTAGTATTGTATAGCATGGACCCTGGAGTTAGAAAGACATGAGTTCAAACCTGGGCTCTTCCATAATTAGCAGTGAGACCTAACCTCTTTGTGCCTCAGTTTCCCAACAATAAAGTAGAGCTAATAATAGTGAGTTTTGTGAGGATTAAATACAAATGCATATAAATAGCATAGCATATAGTAAATGGTCAATAAGTTTTTGCCATAATAATTTGTAGCTACTGTCCACCATAGTGTAGAGCCTACAGTAGACTATGAGGTCCCTCTCTCCCCCCACCCATTTCTCAGTAATAAAATGGGCAATGCCTGACTTTAGCCACAGTTCTCAGTTCTCTGTAGATGAGTTACACGTAGCTGTCTCTTTATCTTATGTGTACCAAGAGTTAACTATAAAAATGCCCTTTTAAAACCAAAGTGTGGGACTTCCCTGGTGGTGCAGTGATTAAGAATCCGCCTGCCAATGCAGGGGACATGGTTTGAGCCCTGGTCCAGGAAGATCCCACATGCTGCGGAGCAACTAAGCCCGTGCAGCACAACTACTGAGCCTGCGGTCTAGAGCCCACGAGCCACAACTACTGAAGCCAGCACACCTAGAGCCCATGCTCTGCAACAAGAGAAGCTACCGCGATAAGAAGCCAGAGCACTGCAACAACAGTAGCCCCTGTTCACCACAAATAAAGCCCACGCACAGCAACGAAGACCCAATGCAGCCAAAAATAAATAAATAAAATAAATTTATTTAAAAAAATTCTAGGGCTTCCCTGGTGCCGCAGTGGTTGGGAGTCTGCCTGCCGATGCAGGGGACACGGGTTCGTGCCCCGGTCCGGGAGGATCCCGCGTGCCGCAGAGCGGCCGGGCCCGTGAGCCACGGCCGCTGAGCCTGCGCGTCCGGAGCCTGTGCTCCACAACGGGAGAGGCCACAACGGTGACAGGCCCGCGTACCACAAAAAATAAATAAATAAATAAATAATTCTAAAACTGAAGGGTGTATGCATCACAAAATTTGTTTTACATTATTATTATTATCTAACATTTACTAAGCACTATTTGCCAGGTACTATACTAAGTAGTTTTCATGAATTACCTCTTTTAAACCTTATCACAATGCCAAGAGGTAAATTTGATTGATACCCACATTTACAAGTGAGGAAAGTAAAGCCTAGGGGGAAGGCACAAAAACACCACATTCACTTTGCCTGATGTCACACAACCAGTAAAGGGCAAAAGAAAACACAGACCTTGATTTGTCTGGTTCTAAAGCCCTTACTCCTCATCCCTGTGCACTACTGCCTCCCTTTGGCTCCTTGTTTCCTCTCCTTCACACTAAATATATCCAGAGGTATAGACCTAAATATTCCCATTTTATAGACAGACAGATTGAGGCTGAGAGAGAAGCTAACACCACCCAAGTACTCTCACCAGAGCTCAGAATTGAGGGCCTTTTCCTGCCTCATCTCTGCAGGTGCCCATCAATATAAGTACGGTAAGAACCGAGCTGAGGAGGATGCCAGGAGGTACCTGGTAGAAAAAGAAAAGCTGGAGAAAGAGAAAGAGACAATCCGGACAGAGCTGATGACACTGCGGCAGGAAAAGAGGGAACTAAAGGAAGCCATTCGGAACAGCCCAGGTATCTATGTGGGTGTGGTCCTGAGCACAAGGGGGTCTCATCCTTGACACCTCCCCTGGCATCTGCCACCTGGTTTCTTACCAGGAACAGGTGGGCTTCTCCTCCCCTTTCTCCTCCTCCCTCCCCTCCCCATCCTCCTCCCTCCTCCTCCCCCTCCTCCTCCTCATTATCTCTCCTGACTAATGGAAGTGCCACTGATTTAATAACTGCTTTTAGAGTGAGAAGATGAAAAAGCGTACAAATGTGTACACTTAAAGTGGTAAAATGAGCTCTGATTTTAGAAATGCTAAAATGTGAAAAACAGAGTGTGCCTTAGAATCATGGACGAGATATTCTGAACCTCACATTAACTCATTCATTCACAGATATGCACTGAGCACCCAAATGTGTGATACATTGGTTCACATACTGGGAATAATGGATGGTGACACTTTACCAGGATCTTCTTCTGAAATCCAGGACCGTGGCCTCTGCAGGCTCTGCATGCCCTGGGCTCCTCTGCACCCCACTTTCTGCTGTGTTTCTGTTGAATTCTCGCTATAGCTGCAGTTCAGCACACTTTCAGACTGAGGTTTCTGAACGTGCTGGAGGGAACAGAGGTCCTGTCCTTATAAAGAATACATCCAAGGTCGCATAGCCCCATGAGAATCTGATGGAACCTATGGACCCCTTCCTAACAGAGAAAACCCCCACAGATCACAATGTTGCAAATAATATCAGGAGCTCCTGTGCCCCCAGAGTCATAGATTGCCTAGGAGTCCACGAGCCTCAGGTTGAGAAGTTCTGGCTTAAAGACTTGTTCTGTGTGGCTAGGAACCAGAATCAATGGGAAGAAGGCACATAAAGGCAGTTTGGTTTCTGGGCTTCCCCGGTGGCTCAGTGGTTAAGAATCCACCTGCCAATGCAGGGGACATGGGTTTGAGCCCTGGTCTGGGAAGATCCCGCATGCCGTGGAGCAACTAAGCCCGTGTGCCACGATTACTGAGCCTGCGCGCCATAACTACTGAGCCCGCATGCCACAACTACTGAAGCCTGTGCACCTAGAGCCCATGCTCCACAACAAGAGAAGTCATCGCAATGAGAAGACTGCGCACCACAATAAAGAGTAGCCCCCACTCGTCACAACTAGAGAAAGTCTGTGCGCAGCTATGAAGACCCAACGCAGCCAAAAATAGATAAAATAAAAATTTTTTTAATTATTTAAAAAAAAAAAGGCAGTTTGGTTTCAATATAAAGAACTTTCTAAGAGTCAGAATAGGGTTTGGAGCAGGTCAACTTGACTGTCCAAACTTGTCCTGCTCAGTTTTTTTCTATAGCATATCAGTTTTTGACATCTTAGATTATTTATTATATTTATTATATTGTTTTCTCTCCCTCCCTCTCTCTGTGTCTCTCTCTCTCTCTCTCTCACACACACACACACACACAATTGTAAGTTCAATAAGGGCAAAGATCTTTGCCTGTTTTGTTCACTGATATATCCCAAGGGCACAGAACTGTGCCCAGTACCTAGCAAGCACTCAATAACTATTTACTGAATGAATGAATGAACGAATGAACAAATGAATGAAAAGAACAACCATTACTAGAAAACCCTCCAGTGCAGCCTCCTCAGGACAAACAATGGAACTAATCTTTAAACGTGATAAGATCCAAAACAGCTCTTGGCACAAAGAAGGTCCTAATATAGGTTTGTTGGCTTAAACTGAATAAGCAGCAAAATCCTAGCAGGAACTTGTGATCAATGTAAAGCCTGTCTTACGATTCTTGGTTACAAGTAAGAGAAACCAAAGTGAAACTGGCTTAGAAATGAAAAGAAAAATGTAATTGAAAACTTAAGTGATCAGATATAGCAAGGTCCAGGGACTTAAATGATGTCACCAGGAAACATGTTTCTCTAATTCTTGCTTCTGCCTTCCCCTACATTGGTTTCATTCTCTGCCCCTCATGGTGGTATAAAGGCTACACAGCTCTAGCCATCACCGAATCCGTGCAGCCACTCCAGCAGAGAGGCTTCTCTTCCCAATAGCCCCCATAAACACCTCGGGATTCACTTTGATTGAACCAGCTTTGATTCCTCAACCAACCACTGTGACCAAAAAATGAGATATAATTATGGGCCAGGTCTAAGTTATGTGCCAATCCCCTGAACTAGGAGTGAAGTCAGCCCCAGCCAAACTACAGGGAATGAGAGGAGAATGGGGAAATGGGTATCGGGCAGATAAAAACCACACACCCCTGCATGGGGCTGGAACCCCAGGTCCAAAGTCCATCCCTTAACAAGGAGCGAGGCCTGGAAAGGCCCTCTGGGAAGGCAGACTAGGGCCTGAGGCCCTGCCAAACTCCCTGATGCTTCTGGCCAAACCAGGCTCAGCTATTTCTCATAGATGTCTTTGGACACAGGGGCAAAGTTAAAAGCTCTGGAAGAGGCCTTGGCCACCCTGGAAGCTCAGTGTCGGGCGAAGGAAGAGGGTCGGATCGACCTGGAGCTGCGGCTGGTGGCTGTGAAGGAGCGCTTGCAGCAGTCCCTGGCAGGGGGCCCAGCCCTGGGACTCTGCGTGAACAGCAAGAACAAGAGCGGGGTGAGTCTACTCCCTTTTGCACCAGGGGCAGCTGCTCCTCAATACCCTCATATGCTACAGATCTCCATGATCATTCTTTAGGGGTAGGAGTTATGCTTATTTACAAATGAGAAAGCTGAGGCCCTAAGAGGAGAGGAAACATGCCATAAGTGGCACAGCTGTGAAAGAGACTCTTGGAGCAAGTTTTCTGGCCTGTGTTCTCTCCACTGAAGCACTACTATTTGACTTTTTATACTGAATGTGATCTTAGAAGTGGCCTTGGGGTTATTGATAATAATAATATACTATACTGAATAACAAACTTGTATTGCTCAAGTTTGTTATTCTTATTCAAGTACAGGTTAAGATGCTGTACTGGCCGATTGTACCATAGGCCAGTACAGCATCTTAACCTGTATGATGTCACACAATCTTCGCAGCAGTCCTATGAGGTAGTACTATGTGTATTCACCTCATATGACAGACAAGGAAACTAAGGTTCAGATGTTGCATTATGTGCTCAAGGTCACTCAGTTAAGTGGGAGACAGGATCCCAAACCCAGGAAGTCTGACTCCAGAGCCTTGCTTTAGCCACCAGGCACACGCCCTCTCCTAGGATCCCCAGTGTACCAGTCCCTGTACTCAGGGCTTTGAATCCATTATCTCTAATGCTCCCAGCAACCATCACCTTGAATGGGATGTCCTCAGGGAGAACTTCACGGACCTCAGTCTGTATCAGTGTCTCAACCTCAGCACTACTGCCAATAATTTTTTGTAGGACTGTCATGTGCATTGTAAGATATTTAGTAGCATCCCTAGCCTCTACCCACTTGATGCCAGTAGCTCCATGCCCAGTTATGACGACCAAAAATGTCTCCAGAAATTGCCAAATGTCCCCTGGGAGGACAAAACTGCCCCCATTTGGGAACCACTGGTCTAACCTAACAGTCCCATCTGTTATTCTGCCTCACAGCACTTAACCACAATTTGTGTGTGAATATATGTATATGTATATACATGTATATATAGTATATTCATGTCCTTACATTCTGTCTCCCCCCACTAGATTGTATTTTTATTAAGAACTGGACTATGTCTGTTTTGTTTATCATTATAGCTCTAGTCCTTCAGAATCTGAAAAATAGAAGTGCAATAAATGTTTGTCAAATGAATAAATGTTATACCCGCTTTTACACAAGGAAATGGAGGCTCAGAGAGATGAAATAACTGGTCTGATAAGTGTGAGTTGTCATTGGGAACAGTATTCCTATTGCTGTCCTAGGTCAGGCCACACCTCATGACTCTAAAGCCAGAGCAGTTTCTTCCACTCCTACACTTCTACTCCCAGGGGCATTTCCAACCTCATTTACAGAAGAAGGGCTTAGGGGCTAGGGACAAAACAACTTCCCAGAGTCACAGAGGGCTGGTGGAGGAGTAGAAGTGGTTCCCTCATCCCAGCTGCTTCCTCCCACCAGCATGCCCTGATGTTCACATTCCACAGGGCTTTTCTCTCCACTTTTGATCCTTGTGATGGCCTTTGGAGACAGAGAGTCTTCTCTAAATTCCCTACAGGCTCAGCCATTAGTATGTCACACTCAAGGAACTACATCCAGCAAGGTACTAAGCAATCACCTGGAAAATATGAGTAAAGGCAGTGTAGAAAATGTGAAGGAATACAGGAGAGAGGTTGAGACAGGACTGTGGGATTTGAATCCCAACTGTCTCACTCACCAGCCTTATGGCCTTGAGCAGTGACTTGACCTTCTCATTTTCCTTATCTGTAAAATGGGACAAAATAATAATAGTACCTGCTTTATAGGATTGAAAAGGCTAGATGAGCTAACCTGGTCCATAGTGAGGGTTCAGTAATTTTAATTTTAGTAATTTTAGTCATTATCTTTATTCCAAGGCCCTCAAGTATCTTTTACCCCTCACCCTGTTTGATGCTGACATGTTTGCACAGTGCCTTCTTGGCAGGCTGGGTGTAAGTAGCGAGCACTAGACCTCACCTGTGTAACTATTTCTTGTCATCAACAGGAAACTGCAAATAAACCCCAAAACAATGCCCCAGAGCAACCTCTCCCTGTCAATTGTGTTTCTGAGCTGCGGAAGAGGAGCCCATCCATCGTAACCTCCAACCAAGGAAGAGTGCTACAAAAAGCCAAGGTACGGCCATAGATCAGCTAATCAAAATTCAGAGATCTGGAAGCTTCCTTTCTATGGAACCCCACCAAGAACCAAAAAGTCAGCTAGTGAGAAAGGCAGAGAACTGCCAATATATCCATGCAGTAAAACTCATGAACTTTGCTCAGAGGGCAAGACCTTCAAATCTCCTTCAGAACCTACTTATTCTTTCTTAACACATAGTTCTAACAAGCTTTGGTTTCTGAGCCTACAATATGTTTTGAGACATGAAAGGTCCCATTTTGTAGGTGAGGAAACTAAGTGAAGGGACTTGCCCAAGGTTATGCAGGGCATCAATGAGAGAGCTGGGATGCAAATCCATCTCTTCCAAGTCCATAGCTCACTCCATGATACTGGTCCACAGTACTATCTTGGATTTTAGAAAGGTAATATGGTGCATATACTATATATGATGAAAAACCCCAAGTTCTCAGGAGGTACTCTGTAAGCAAACACGTTGATAATTCTATAGCAAGACACATGAATATTCACATCACATTGAATAAATAGGTTACAAACAGCCTCATATCAGTTCAGGTCAGGTTTTGCCACTAAATGAGTTTGTGCCAAAACACTTTAAAAATGTTTTGGTTTCAGAGCTCTCTGGATTTCAGAATTACAGATAAGAAAGTGTAGACCTGAAAAACAAATACCTGAGCATTACGACATGAGATGAGAGAAGTAACCAGCTGAAGGCCAGATCATCTAGATCAGACATCAGCAAACTTTTTCTGGAAAGGGCCAGACAGTAAATACTTGCAGCTTTGTGGACACATGGTCTCTTTCACAAGTCACCTCTGCTACCACAGCAGGAAAGTAGCCACAGACAATATGTAAACGAATGATTAACATGGCTGTGTCCCAATAAAACTTTGTTCATGGACAATGAGATTTGAATTTCATATAAATTTCAGGTGTCATAAAAAACTATTCTTTTTTTAAAAAAAAAACATTTAAAATCTGAAAAGTCATAGCTGGTGGGTCATACAGAAACATATAGTGAGCCAGATTTGGCCCATGAGCCATAGTTTGCTTCTCCTTGACCCTTGTAGGCCATTGGAAGAACTTTGGATTTTGTTCTAACATAATGGAAAGTCACTGGCAAATTCTGACCAAGGAATTTTTAGATATGAATTACATTTTTAAAAGATCATTCTGACTACTATGTTGAGAATGGATGAGGGGGTAAGAAAAATCAGTTAGAAGAAGTAACCTTGATGGGAGATTAGAAAGGTTTAGTGGAGGTGACAGTGACTAGCTGGCTTTGGAGGTAGAGCAGAAGGACTTGCTGATGAGGATGTGGAGGATGAGGAAAAGAAAGAAATCAAGGACGACCCCTAGGTCACTGCCCTGAGCAACTGCAGTCAAGGTGGTGAAGACGTGAGAGGGGCAGGTTGGGAATGGAGAATCCTCCCACCAAGAATTTTCTAACCACCATCTTCTGCCCTGGTTCACCCCATCCCCTCCAGGGCTGGCTGGAAATGCCATGGATTTTTTATAGGTAAAAAGCCATTCACTGCTGGCCCTGACTTCAGTATTCATCTCAGGTGAACTCCTAGACAGCCCTGGGAGAACGAACAGAGCCCTGTGGGTTGCCTGCCCTCACCCTTCCTTACCAAGCTGCTTTGGCCTGTCTCCCATCAGCCTCCTACCCCAACCAAGGTGCTGTGGAAAAGCACTGATGCAGTCCCCACTCCCCAACTTCTTCTGGGCCCCAGTTTCCTTGTCTGAGAAAGACAAACTGTAGTGTTTGAACCCCCTTAGAGATGAGACCCAGCATGGAGAAATGACTTACCCAAGGCCAAAGAAAGAGAGTGGGACTAGGACCCATGCATGACTCTGTGATCTGGCCATGGAGATCTTTATATAATTAGGTGCAGTGGTATGTTTTTATCCTGCAGGTTACACTAGAATATTTAACAAACTGATACTTCCTGTCTTTCCGTACTTCAGGAATGGGAAATGAAGAAGACCTAGAAAGAGGATGAGGATTTCATCCAAAGGAGATAACACCTTGTCCATCCAAGGCAGAAATGCTTTTTTCACAAGGAGACATCAGAAGACTGGAAGTAGCCCACACTCTCTGGGGCACCCAAAAGACCAGCCTTTATTGTCTGCAGGATTATAGGGGACATGGGGAGGGAAGAAGGAGGAGAGAAGAGGGAAATGGAGGGCATCCTTATAACTTTACAGAGGGTGGAAATGGGGATGGAGGGAGACAGAAATCTGCACAGTCGTAAAGGTTTTGTTAAATGTCTTTGCCTTCCCTTCTAAAGAAGAAATGAAAGCACATGTGAATAAGCCATTCCATCCCATTCTCAGCATCCCATTCTCAGTCCTTAGGAAAAAGGAAGGCAGTGCTGAGGCATCGGTGGTACAGTATAAAGGGACAGGACTGGATCATCTGATCTTGCTTGTGCCAAATGGATTCATACTGGGCATTACTGACAACCTCTGGGCAAGATAGGCTGAAAAATCAATACAGTTATCCCTAACTTGCATGAAGTGAGCAAAAACTACAGAGATCATGTAAATTCTACAATCATTCCTCATGATTATACAATCCTCATGATGCAGAATCCAGAATCCCTGATTTGAGTGTTTACAAATCAGAGATCTGGCAAAGAGGGGTTCAGCAGCTGACATACTTTAAGCTCACAGTGCTACTCAGTGACAAGAGCATGGATTTCTAATGTCCACAGGATGTTGCAGGCATTGTAGGATGGGGTCATTTGCTGTCAGTCAAGTCCCCTACCTAATTTACATGGCACTCAGGCTCTGGGAGCTATGGCTAGAAATCCAGGTGACACTCCTTGTCTTTAACCTTACCTTGCACTTGGAGGCCCACCAGTCTGCCCTTTCATACCTGCTATCAAGTAAAACTATCATGGAGAACCAAGAGGATGGTGGCTCATTTCTGCCACAGGGGTGCTAAACTTTTTACAGACACTTGATAGTTTTATAGGGGAGCAAGGACCTCAAGTCCCAGGCAGTCTCCTAACTGCGCCACTCACTACTTTCTCAACACTGTAGGCACTTTATAGGTCTTTACCACCTTTCCCTCCAATAAAGATAAAAACATTTAACTGTATAAGCTTAGAGGTTAGCTCAAGGGGAAAGAAGAGAAATCCCAGAATAACCTATGGACACTTTGCTAGAGGCTACACACACTTTTCTTAACTAAGACTTTACATACTTGAGCCTCACCCAAACTTTATCACCCTCTGAGGTAGCTAGAGACCAAAGCAAGTAAAATAACCTGACCAAACGCACCTGGCTGCCAGAGGCAGCACTTAAGACTTAGGGCTAATGAGCCTGGATCCAGACAAGGCTGCTTGAGCCCTGCCTCTGCCACTTACCAGCTGTGACTTTGACCTCTCTGATTGCTTTCCTTACCTGTGAAAACCATGTTAACAATTGTACTCCTCTCCCAAGAATACTGGGGGAAAACCAGGTTAACAACTATACTTTCCTCCCAAGACTACTGAGGGAATTCAATGAGTTAATACACAGGAAACATCTTGTACAGCATCCAAGAAATAGGAAATGTTCAGCCATAGTGGTTCTTCTTATTAGCTAGATAAGAAACGCCTGACTCAAAATCCTGTGTCCTTTCCACTGAAGAAGAAATGACTTTCATGTGGTTATTACGACCACCAAAAGCTAAAAGGCAACCAATCTATAACTAACAGCTTTCATCCAGATGCCACCTGAGTGTCTTCAGTAACAAAGGAGTTCACATAATCTGAATTGTCAATGTTCTTTTTTAAAATGTGGGTCCTGGAATGGCACCCAACAATCCAACTGTGTCCGCCGTGTGTGTCACATTCTTTCTCGTGCAGTTATTTTGAGGTTAAGTGCCTTTTGCCACCAATAGATCTTGGCTCTTTGAGAGGGGGTACCCTAGGAAATTAATAATTAACATTTATTGAGCACTCACCGCACATCAGACGCTGTTAGCCATGACTGGCTACACAGGCATACAACCTGTGCAGTCAACCCCACACCTAGCAGGGCCCTGTGCCTGGTTTATTGCTCTGCTGTTACTCTCTCAGTAATTTCGAACAAGGGGCTCCACACTTTCCTTTTGCCTTTTATGTAGGCGTTCCTGGTGCTAACTAATTACTTTTCTAGGTATTATCCCTTTAATCTTTACTAAAACCCTGTGAGATAGGCTCTATTAACCCAGTTTTCATAGTTCAGGAAATGGAAGCCCAGAGAGGTTAGGTAACTTGCTAAAGCCCACAATTAGGAAGTGGGAGAGCTGGCACCTGAATACATGAAGTCTGACCCTAGAACTCCCCTCCTCTTAGTTCCAAGGCTCTATTTCACTCATGTCTCCCCCTCCTCTTGCACTGCAGTATTCAGAAGCACACAGACACTTAATAGATGAATAAGTGGATGCAGCACATTTGGTGTAACTTAGCTAAGAGAAGTGTTAACAAAATGGCTAAAACATGGATGCCAGTTCTGGTTTGGTTGTTTTTTCAAAGTGTAGGGTCATGGTTCTAAAGTGGACTTGGAGTTCCATCCTCCCCAACACTGCAAAGTGTTTGGACTATCAGATTTCTAGTATCACTGGATCCTCAGTGGGGGTCTTTGAGCAGGTTCACCAACCTCTCTGAGCCTTAGTTTTCTCCTATGTAAAAGAGGATCATAATCCCTCCTTAAACCATGCTGTTCTTTTCCTGGGGCCAAAAGGAAACAGAAGGTTGCTCGTTACAACACATTTGAGCTAGGCCCTGGATAGAGTATAAGGATGCAGAAGACGCTAGCTTTGTCCTTATGAAACTCACGGACAGGCAGAGAAAAAATATGACCCAAATAGCTACCGTACAAGTAAGCCATCCTGTGGTGAAGATTCAGAATGTTGAAGGCACACTTCCCATCCCTTAAAAAAATTTTTTTTGACATTAGGGCCTATCCATTGACTAGTCTGGCACCTCCAAGTGCCCTCAACCCCAATCACCAGTCCTTTCTCACAACCTGTCAGTTTTCCATACTAAATCTCTCTAAAATTCATCCACTTCTTCCTATTTCCACTGGCACCATCCAACTTCATTAATTCATTCAACAAATGCTGGAACATCTACTATGTGCACCTACTGTACTCGATGTCAGAAATCACTGCTGTGAACAACACAGAAACTCTCATGAAGCTCATACCCTAGTTGAGAAAACGAACAAAATCCAGCAGAAGTGCTGGAGATAACTAAAACAGTAGCGACCTTAGATAAAGTGGTTACAAAGGTCTCTCCTGTGAGAAGACCCCAGGACAGAATACAACCCTTCTGTGCACGCACCAGTCCCAACAGCTTGTCTCCCCACCTCTTGGACCCAATCTCCTCACAGCAGTCAGTGACCCATTAAATACGTAAAGGCATCGTAACATGTTCCCCTTGCAATCAGAGTAAAACTCAAGTTCATTAGACAAAAAAAAAAAAACTTGACCTACATTAGGGCACTGTTCCACTCTGTTCATTAAGCATGAACAGACAAAAAAAAATCTCTGCCCTAATGCAACTGACACGTGAGGGGAAATGAGAAAATACACATTTTAAAACACAGTAAGTCGCGGGGGGGAGGCGGAACTGGAGAAAAAAAAGCAGGGAAGAGTGATGGGAGATGAGAGGCAGGCTTCGACTTTTTTAATTCCTCAAGTGCTCTGCCCTGCCTAACCACCGTCTTGTGTTGCTCCCCCGCTTCCTCAAGTACTTCAGTGCCTTACTCGCAATACCCCTCTTGACTTTGCAGATGCTGTTTCCCTCTACCTGAACCAGCTGCCTCTTCATCTACTCATTATTCCGCTTTCAGTTCAAAAGTTATTTCCTTTGGGAAAACGCCCCACACTCGGCCATATCGTACTCTAGGCTTCCGCAGCACCAAGCCCCTCACCTTTAAACACCGGTCATATTTTGACTTTATAGGGCGTTAGCAATTGTTTGTTGTGCATAACTTCATGTAAGCTCCTTGAGGGTACAGCTGTTATTCCCTTTGGTCGCCGCGAATTCCGCGCGTAGCACGGAGCCCACGCCCCTGTGACAGGAAACCAACCTACTCGCCGAATCCGCAGGGAGCCGGAAGGGTTGCGTTTCGTCTGAAGACCGGGTAGGAAACGGCGCAGGGACAACCCGACTAACAGCGTTCCCATCCGGGGCCCTGAGAGAGAACGCCTTCCCGCGAAGGCTGCCGGGAAGCGTGGTTTTTGAAGCGAGCGTGCTCGTCACTTGGGGCAAGTGCGCGTGCGCAGCCTCAGTCAGCCGAGGTGGGGAACATGGCCGTGAGGTTCCTGTGGGCGGTCCGGCGGCGGATGCAGCCCCTCCTGGCCTCGAGTGGCGCGTCAGATGGCAGGTAAGCGAGGCAGGCCGGGGATCCGGGACGTGAGCACGATGCAGGAGAAGCGATCCGGAGGGGCGATTTTAGGCTGGACGGCGAGAGGACCTACCAAGCCTCTCGGCCGCTACGACTGGGCGCTCACGGCCCCATCTTACGGAGAGGGAAACTGAGGTCTACAGCCTTGCCTCCTTGCCGGGCCGAGGAGGGTGGAAAGATCCGAGGTCACGCCCTCGGAGGTGAGAACTGTTATTCAGCCCGAGCGTCGGTTGAATTGGGGAAGTACCCTTCCCATCCCCTTCTCGACAGCTTTGGTGTCTGCGGGTAATTTGGGATTCTCTCCCAACACCCTGTGTGATCGTATCTGAGCTTCACTTTACCTATCGGTAAAAGGAGGCCGTTGGACTTGGTCTTTACAAACGGCCCTTCCACCTGCCTTCGGGAGTCTGAAGTTCCGGTTGCTACTTTTATCCATCAGTTGCGACTTTTACTGATCATTTATCATGCCAATTGCAGAACGATGGGTAGTTCTTTTTATTCTTCCGTTTAATTGAGGAAACTGAGGTTTAGAAAAGTTGAGTAACGTCTCCAAACTTAAATACGCGTGAAGTGGTGGAACCCAGACCGGAAAGCAGTCAGGGCTGTAGAATCGGCCCTTTAAAATTAGTGACCAATGTTACTTATTCTTAGGGACTATTCCCCGTTGACAGTTTATTTATCGGAAAGAATAAAAATTGCTGAGTAGGGGGATGGGTCAGGTTGGATCTCTGAAAAGTAAATTAAATTACGGTGAAATCCAGAAATTTTGCATAACTGTCACCTTTTTAACACACCTGACCCAGCACTCGGGTAAGAGGTTGAATTCCGGGTTTCAAGCTTTTTTTTTTTCTTTCCTAGTCTTTTTGACAGTTTGTGGTGTAGGGAAGTGATCAGAAGGAAAATGTTCCCTTCTAATAAAATTTCCCCGACTCCAGTTCTGAAACAGTAGCAATTGAATGGATGCGCCGCAACTCCCTCTTTCTCATGACTTGGGCCCTGGCCGTGTGCCCTTTCAACTGGCCCTGAGGATATCTTGACCTCCTTTCAATTGGATAAGTGTAGTTTGTTAGGAATTTAGGAGGAAGGATCTATTTCACCCTGTGTGATGTGTCCCAGATCTGTGGTGACCAATTTTCGAAATAAAAATGTGTAATCTTGTGTAATCTGACATCAGATCATAATAACTGAATTCAGGACTGGCCTGGAAGATAAAAGTAATCTTGCCCACACCCTTATACTGATGGTTCCCTCTTCCCTTTCTTGAAGTAAACTCCTTTACCCCCTTTAAGCCTTTGCTTAGATTTCACCTCAGTGGCCACTTTTCAATATATACCACTTTAAATAAATAAACTATTTGTTTTAAAGACCTTTTGCGCTCACAGATTTCTTGATGGTTTTACTTCATATTAAGTTATGATGATCCAAGAGGTGTAATGGAAACTTCCTTGAACAGGGGGCTCAGAACTGCCGCAATCCAAGATCTGCAAACTAGCCCCTACTCTAAACTTTTTATGTGAACTGAACTATATGTCTATATGATCTGTTTTATTCACCTGTATATAGTTCACAGTCCACAACATATAGTAAATGTTTTATAAGTTTTTGATTGACTTGATTTTACATATAGGTGAGCTCCCAACTCATTTTCTCTTAGTGTAGGTTCTCTTCCATAAAAGCCTTGCTTTTACTTAGAGCTTGTGATCAAGATGGCTTTAGAATTCCAGGCCTCACTCCAATTCGATAAGGTACCTTTACTGGGCTTAATTTTCCCCACCTATAAAATGAGGGATTGAACCTGAACTGTACGGCTTTTTGTTTTGAATTCTCACTTCTGATATTGCCCTGCTGGTTCTAGGTATTATAATTTCGCTTTCTCTTGCTGACTTTTGTGTCCCCACTTCCAGCTATTTCTACTGCCTGATGCTCAGTATCCTGATTCAACAATACTAACTGTGTAATCTTGAGCAAGTCATAAGCCTCTCTGAGCTTCGGTTTTCTCATCTATAAAATAGGGATGATGATAGTATTTATCTCACATGTTGTAAGATGAAAAGATGATTTAAGTAAAACCCTGTCAACTGTGTCTGGCATTTAGCAAGCACATTATAAGTGTTTGTATTGTTACTGAGACTGAAAGCACTTTGTCTAGAGAGAGTCAATCTGGGAGACATTCCAGCCTCTGAACCTGGTTATAACTTCAGCTGTTTGTGACGGCATTTCTTCATAATGCACCACCTCCCTCCCACTTTAGGGGATGGCTGCATCCTTTCAGCACTGCCACCCAGAGAACCGCTGGTGAAGACTGCAATTCTGAGGACCCTCCTGATGAACTTGGGCCCTCTCTTGCAGAACGAGCCTTAAAGCTAAAAGCTGTTAAACTGGAGAAGGAAGTCCAGGATTTAACAGTGGGTAGATTTTATATTATCTGTTCATATATTCTGTAACATATATCATATTTTCTATTATCTGTTTATATTATCTATATTCACATCTTTTCTCTGATTTAAGTATCCACGTAAAGTTTTTTAAGTCAGTTTTTAAACTGTTTCTTCTAATTAGCTCTTTACCCCTCTTACTAGATATACTAGGCACAATAATCTGTACTAGTTCAAAAACATTACTGACTACGGATACTCATCTCTTTTCAGTTCCCTGGTGTGTCACAGTACTTAGATACCTGATATTTTGGTAGCTTCAAAGGAGGTACAGTGCCTGGCATGTAGTACACACTCAATTAATATTTGTTGAATGAGTGAGGTCACTTATCATTGTATTCTGCCAATCAGACTACCTCTGGCTTACTGTGCCAGTACTAGACTGACAGACTTTGAGAAAGAGAAATAATTAGAGTAATTCCAAAGCAGGACCGCCCAAAAATGGTAAGGGGTTTGGAAAGTGTGTCTTGTGAGAGGAATGAAAGGAACCAGGGATTATAAAAATGAAAGAAGAAAAAACTAAAGAGGCTAAATAATTGGCTTAAATTGATGACATATTTTTAAAACTTACTCTTGGCTATCCTAGAGTTCAGTTCAACAAAAGAAAGTTGAAGAGTGGCAATGTTGCCTGAAGGTGAAAAAGAAAGCTTTTTCTCAAGATAATGAGCTTGAAAACAGTTGTTCTGTGTTCAAACTGGCAGCCTAAATGACAGCCTATCAGGGCCGCTATAAAGAGAGATTCCTGCTATGACTGGGAATTTGGAGTAGCTGATCTAAGATTCCTACACAACTCGTGTTGTTGTTGTTGTTGTTGTTGTTTTAATAAAAATCTATACCAAGGGTGAAATTTGTAAAGTAAGCAAAAAGTTTCTTTTCCACAAATAGGCATTTGTTTTCTTATCATTTTGACTTTGCTTTTGATGCTCAGGTGAGATACCAGAGAGCTATAGCTGATGGTGAAAATATAAGAAGGCGAACCCAGAGATGTGTAGAAGATGCCAAGATATTTGGTGAGAGGCTTATTAATAATGAAAATACCTTTTAGTTTAAGGGCACTTACTAGCAGTTGTGCACACTGAACTTAGCAAAAGACACATCTGGGTCCTTAACCAATCTATACACTGCCCTTCCTCTATCCCCCTAGGCTTTCTGCTCTGCTTACTGGGAATGTTGTCAAGTGAACCATTTGCTAAAGTAATATTTGCCTTTATTTTCACCTGACATTTGTTATTTTATTTTTCAAGCATGTACAGTTAACATTCTAGTGCCTATACAGGCAATTCGGTTTAACTCATTAATGAACAAGTGAATCATTAAGATGTTCAGAAGAGAATCCAAAGAGCAGACACATAGGCAATCATAAATGCTGAGATTTGCTTCACGTAAGCAAAATTGGTCCATAACCATAGTGCAATAATCAACTGTATCTCCACCAGACAGTTTTCACAACTATAGACAAAAATCATTTGCATTACTGTCAGTGTTCTACAGCTTGCTGAGTTATAACTCGAAGGTTCAGACCACATGGAATCAGATAACCCTGAAAGCTGTGCTAGATTGAATCTATTTTTTCACTGATGGCATTGAATAATCTTTTTGGTCCATTTCAAAGTCGTTCAGAAATTTTTTCCTAAATGCACCACTTCTTGTTCCAAATCTGTTCACGAAAATGTTAATTGAATAACAGGGATTCAAGAGTAAAGGGCAAATCTGTGATTACTTGCTGTACTCACAATTTCATATGGAGCGTTATACTTTGACTACACATAGAATGGAGTGCTTGAGGGGCCCTTGGGCTCTATCTAGTCCAGTCTCCTCTTATAGGCAAGCTAGAAAAAGTTATTTGACAACAGGTGTAGATATGAATCCATTGATTCCTGATCCCTAATCTATTATTCTTTCCCTTATATCACACTCCTTCCTGTTCTCTGGATTTTATCCGTTATTTGTACAGGGGATTCACTTCATTCCTGTCCTGTCCAACCCTAGTCCTTTGGCTTAGCCTTCTGCTTTTCGTTCAGTGCTGTAGATATCATGTTTCAAGACTTTGAGTAAATTCTAACCCCCAAATTGTATTCCTGAATAGCTAAATACTGACCCCCCAATTGTGTTCCTGATATTTCATCCAAGTTTTAGTCTCATATTTCCAGCTATCAGGGCTCAGTGGCCACGCCTGCCACCTGTTAGTCCATAAATACAGTTCTGAATTTCATCAGAAAAAATTTGTGGAAATTTATTTTCTCTTTTGTTAAATAATCACCTACATAAGATGCTTGATTTTGCCTCTTGTCC